ACTAAAGGGATGATGTCAAGAGGAATGAATGCTCCTTTTAGCTGCTATGAATAGAGGCTTCTCATATCAGTTAAGCGTTGACTTTATAATTAAGAGAAGATTACACGTTTCTGTTATTTTTTTAGCCAGTCTCCTAAGACATAAATTAACTAACATTTCACCACTTTGTGTAACCTTTCAAAATGGAGAAGGGAGGTTTGGCTGATAAATTGCATAAGATCACATCTATTTGGAGATATTTACTGTAACTAACAAAGTGGAAAGTCACCTTCCTAACCCTGTGGCCTTTTCTATCTGCTCACTCCTTCCCTGGTTTTGCAGTTCTTGATTTTAGTTTTTGCTGCCTCTAGAAAGATTTTTAATGAATTGTCCCAGAGGGGTTTGCTGCACAGCTGTGCTTTAGCTGTATTTTTGTAAGTGTTGCAAAAAATTTACCCACAACTCCTTTACTGCCTGATGCCTGGGGGCAGTGGAGCTGATGAGTTACTAAATGAATGATGTCTGAGTGGTGGGATGCTTGAGGGGATGGGGGGGTGTTGGGAGGGGAGAGAAGAGCATCTCACCTCTGGTTCATCACTTTGACTTGAGTCTGGCATCCGGCTCCAGAAGAAATGGAGTCCGTCTTCCAAAATTCAGCTTAAAATGAGGGTGCCTTGCCATCTTGGCATGGAGACAGTGAGCAAAGTGGGTTGGAGAAGGCACCTAGTGCTGGTTTTGGGAACAGGCCTCCTGTGATGTGTGGTTGGGTCCTGCAGTGCTGAAGGCTGGTTGGCAGCTGCCAGCATCTGTTTTGTGAAGACTAGACTCATTAGGCACCAGGACACCAATGCTACACAACTGATCATTTTGAAAGATAAATCCTTTATCCCCTCAAGCAAACAGCCTCTGACATTAGCCGATGAGGCCAAAGTATATTTCAGTGTTTGCATCTCAGTGCCAAGTGCTATAGTAGGACACGTGTTCTTTAACAGGAGCAGCTTAGCACTTTAGCTAAGTGGTTGCAGGTTTCTCCCTAGAGGTTTTGGGCCAAGGGTTTGGCTGCAGGTGCAGTGGGCAGGTTGCAAAAAGAGCAGATGATGCCAAAACGCCATTATAGTTGGGGTTTGCCTTTTTTGCCATATCCTTCCTGAGATAACTCACTCACAAGTGTCTTGCACTTCTTTCTTCTAGCCTTGTGCTCAGCTTTTGCAGAGCAGCCAGGCATTTCTACCGTTGTTCTGTCCTTGAGAATATATAAGGTGTGTGACAAAACCCTAAGTAGGCATGCAGTCTGTTAACTCTGGATGATGGTTTATCACCAGCTGGGAAACAGTCTGTAATTGAGAATGCGTAAGCAGAGTCAACACATATTACTTACTGAGTGCTGTGACCATACCTGTTTCCCACTGTCTTCATCTGAGAAAACTAGTTCAACTCTTTTTTTTTTTCTAATTTTCTGGCCTTTTATACCCACTTTGTGTCAAGATGAGTGAGACAGGGACGAAGCAGGGGAGAGGGATGGTCCTGCATTTCTGGATAATTCCTCAATACTAATTGGACAAGGATCAAGCATGTGTTCACATTTGTCAGATTAGCCAGACAGACCACGTACCCTGGAGTTCACGCCAGCTGCTGAGAGCAGGCTGTTACCTGATCCAGCAAAAAGTTGAATCATTCCAGACAGATGATACCTGACCTAGCAGAAATCCTGCTAATACGAAGTTAACCATCAGTACTTTACACTGCATGGCATCTTCTGTATGGTACCAAGAGCTGTAAAGCTGGATTTATTCAGTCACTGGAACACATCTACTGCAGTGCTACTGCCCATCTCATTGGAGGGGTTGCTTTGCTATTGAGAAGAGTGAGATCTATCTGCTCCTACGGGTCTGAGCAGTACTGGCTGGCCACAGCTGCCCTGAAGAGCAAGTCACTGAAGGTGAAAATGGAGCTCGAGACCTTTCATGGTCCTTTCCTCCTGTAAGAATCATTGCAGACGGGAATCTGACTAAAGGCTGGAACAACCACCACTTGCCTGCCTTAGGTCTGTGGTGGAGAGCTGCCGAGCACATGGGACAGCCCAGGTCTGAGAAGCCTCATTTTGCTGTGGAAATTGGCAGTGTGTTGATTTTCTAATTCTTACCTTCCCCTCCAGGTGGATCTGTACGAAGGCCATGAGCCTATATATATATATATATAGCATGTAATGTTGCTGTTTCCTGGTAGTGGAGGAGGCAAAATTAGAATATCCTGTTTACATGCTGTTAGTGCTGTATTTGACCAGCTGTCCTAACGGTTTTCAACTTGCTAGATCAGGACAAGTTTTTCTTATGGTCTGAGAGTCTTCCTGTGGTACTGGATAGAGGAGTGTGGCTGTTTGCACGAGCACTGAGCACCTCTCCGGACTGAGCCTTGCAGCTGCAGAGACAGGGTTTTTCACCGCAGCTGGGGCAGGGAAAGTGAGGCTTGCCAGGTTAGGTACATCAGAACTAAAATCTTTCATGTGCTGAAGGTGGGAGAAACCCCTGGCAGTGTTCATGGCCAGGTTGGATGGGCTTTGAGCAACCTGCCCTAGTGGAAGGTGTCCCTGCCCATGGCAGGGGGTTGCAACTGGATGAGCTTTAAGGTCCCTTCTAACCCAAACTATGATTGCTGCAGGATGTCCTTACAGGCAGGCATATCCCTCCTCCCCATGTTCTCAAAGCATCCTTGAGTCACTTGACTTACTGTGACTGAAAAAAAAAACCCTCATTCAGAGGATTAAGGTGACAGGGTTTTAAGTAATTTCTACCTTTCTTTAAGTAATTCAGCCTTTCTAAATATCTTGGTATATTATCTACCTATATACATGCTTTTGTTCAAGTAAACCTATTTATATTTCTGGAAATGATAAAGAACCTCCGTGAGGCAGGTGAGAACAAGTGAGCCAGTGCTGGTAGCACCTTTGCAGGGTGGGTAGTGGAAATGTGGGGCTGCTGTGGGCATGTAGCACTTGGGTACTGCTTGTGGCGTGAGCTGCTGAATTTATAACCAAACATGGTTACCTAATGCTGTGCCTTTTCCAGACTGTCATGCATGTTCTGGAAATGAACCGTAATCTCAGGAAATGGAGAGGTGCACCTGGGAACTTTGACTAGTCTCCATGTTTAATCATGAACCCGTTTTAAATATGTCAAGGAGGGCAGCTGTAATATATGACATTTTCCTGCCATGTGTTAGAGTGATGGCTTGTGCAATGTCAGGAAAATGTAATGAAAAGTGTCTCCAACTTGACGACTGCAGCTGAAAGTTTTCAGGGCTGACAGGCTGTGGAGTACAGGGCATTTGGGCTGCATTGTTGGTGCTTTCAGTATCACTGTTGTCATGTAGTTGCACAGATTTTTTTCTAAGCCAAATCATTTATATTAATTCTGTCTTTTCCATGTCATCTAGAAGGCGCTTTGTCTGAAGACCACACAGGTGTCAGAGGCTCCCACAGAATACAGAAAAGAGCTAAGACACTGGAAAGCTAAATGGTTTGCTAAAGACAGCTAAGAAAGTCAAAGCTGGAAAAGAGGGCTGGTACAGTAATGTTGCTGGCTGATTTTCTACTGTTGTGTATATAGGAAAATCTGCTATGTCTAGATAGATAGATTATTACTCATGTGTGGTATCAGCCTACACAAAGGGAAGGTGAAGAAAATACAAGCTTTGAATATTATGTTTATTGTTTACTTGCTGTAATAAAACTGTCTGTAAACCTGCCACTGGAAACAGCTTAAATAAAACTTGGCTTGTCCACATTTCAACCCGCATTATGCCAGAATAAGTCTAGAACAATGGCATGTTCAAAGCATATCATCCCAGAGCTCGGATAATCTCCCTTTGGTGCAACCAGCTAAGTGAACTTGCAGAAATTAAAACACTGGTAGAAACTGCAGTATCTGTGTTAATTAAAACCCAAATGTTTATGTGCGAGTGCATTTGCAACCTGATTTTTTCTTTTTTTCCCCCTGAGAAATCTTCTCTATCACTGTCTGTGAACTGCAACTTCTTCTGTTGCCCATTCACTGTGAAGGTCTGTCCTCTTCCTCAATCAATGTGCATGTACAGTTGGGCTGACTGCCCTTGGTGCTCTACACCAGCCTCACAAGAAATTTGCCCAGGAGCACTGGAGAGGCGTGAATGTTGGCATTAGGTCTTTCCTGGTTGAAACTGGGACCTGCAGGAGCATTGCTCACGTCTGCTGTCTGCAAGACCTGCGTGCGTGTGTCTGTTGGGTTTGCCTGGTGACTCTGGATGGGGTGGTGTGTCCTCTGCTGACAGAAGTTGTACAAGCTCACACTTTGCTGACCCTTGCCTGTTTTCACCTGGTTGCTACTAACCACTGTGCTAGAAATTTCACATTCCTAAAATAGGCTGAATTACGTGTACGATCACATATAATTCCAGGCAGAATAAGCATGATTTGAGCTGAAAGGTCGGTTTGACCTGGTCCCTTTGGGCTGTGTGAGGATGCGTGTCCACAGCGAGACGTTTGAATGGCCAGCAGTGGAGGGACAATAAGACTCAGAAAAGCCTTAGCAGACACTCCTTTTCCCTCCAAGTCATGCATTCCCAGTGGTGCTCTGCTTTACCCCTGCATCTGATTACTAATCCCAGTAATCACAAGGTTCTTCTAGGAGCAGGATTTTCTTGTGTGTCTTTTTGTGTCTTTTTTTTCTCCCTTTTTTTTTTCTTTTTGTCAGTAATTCAGTTGCTAATGTTATTTGCAAGTCCCCTTGTGCTGTGGATGTCAACTTGAGCATGAACCTTGAGCACTCAGCTGAGCTCTGAATCATGGACAATGCATCCCAAAGTGGCACAGACGATACAGCAGCCACAAGAACGACTCGGTCTTCCAGTTCATTGCCTCAGTAGTAAAAGATCTTTCTATAAATGCCAAGCAAGATGTATAAATCATCCAGGAACTGCCATGCACTAAATCAAGAAGCAGGGAAATGAATGAATATTTGTAAACCAAGTGTCAGTGTAACTAAAACATGGTGCAGAACAATAGGCCTGTGATATGCCTTGTGCCGTCGGGAGGCTCCACAGTGGAGTCAGAGATCCACACAAAGGGAAGTTATGCAGAGGCATGCCGGCTGCGGCTGAAGCAGGCTGAACTCTGTGCAGATAGCGTCAGTAATTTCATGGTTCAGAGCAGTAATTTCACATACTGTATGAAGCAATAACTGTTTGCTGTGCTAGCTTCAAACTTTCACTGGGCAACCGGGTGGATCTACTTGAACAGTAACAAAAGCCTTGCATTTTCCAGCAGTTGCTAATCAGAGCTAATACCAGCTCCCATGACATCTCCTGCTCTGCAGTGTTGGCCTGGAGCTTCCATGGTTTAATTCACCAGCACGGATGTGCCCTGGGCTCATAGCTGTGAAAATACAGAGTCAGGGAGGGTGGTGTTTTAGAGTTGTTTCTGCAGCCTTCTCTGTTCCAAACTCTTGCCCATCACCTCACCCTACAAGAAAGTTTTCTAACAAAACAGAGCAGCCCATCTATTTACCGAAGCAAGTGGGGTTAAGTTGAGGCTGAGCCTCTGCTGGCAGCACTAAGCCCTTAGGCAGGTAGGGTTCAACTCCTGTGTCCTGAATCAGCATTGTCACTCCTGGAACTGGTCCTAGCACCTCCCTTGGTGGCCATGACCTTTCCTAGCAGCTTTGTCCTATACAAGCCATAGCCTTGTTAAGCAATAGGCAGAGTGGACATAACTAAAGTTATTCCAGGAGCTGGAGTTAGAACCTAGAACTTGCTTCTGCAAAACTTGTGGTGAATGTGAACTTCATTGTGTTTGTAACCAAACACAAATTAATCTCAAATTTTGATTGTTTTGAGTGAGTTCAGCACATGCATCCCTCCTGCTCCAAGCCTGGACATGGCATAAAGTCTCTTGTAGGAGGCAGGTGCTGAAGTGATGGACATCTTTTTAAGTCAGCAGATAGATACCTCGAGGACCTATAAGTGGTTTATTTGTGCGGTTTTCACCACCTTTTCTTGAGGGAAAAAAGCAAGGAATAAGGTTTAATAATGATAGCAGAAAGTCTCCTGGTCCACAGCCTGTTTCTTGTCTTGCTTTGCTTAAGCTGTGATTTGGGTTAGGTTTTATGGCCCATCTTCCTCCAGTTTAGCCTGCCCCAACCTCCAGCATCTTCCTCCAGTTTAGCCTGCCCCAACCTCCAGCATGGTTACTGCGGGGAGGACATTGGTACTTGAAAGCCAGAGCTGTGTTACTGAGTGGGGTGAGGTCCCTCCTGGCTGTGGGGTGTTGTGGTGCCAGGTGTGAATGGGAAAGGGAATGTAAAATGTTTACTTGAGCATTTCCCACTTTTCTTAGTCTGTCATTTGCAAACTTAATCCAGGCTGTGGTGTCTTCTGATCTTCCCCTGCTGCAGAGAGCAGTGCCTCTGGTTTAGCCAGACAAGTCGCGCCATCATTCCTATCACAAAATGTTGATGCTGAGCATGTCTGGGATATATTTATCTATTTATTTATAACTTGTACATACCGTTTAGTTTTTTTCAAGCCTTCGTACATTTGCTAGATGTTTGCCAGGTGACAAAGTCCTCCAGCCAGAGGTACCTGTGGTGGGGGGGTGTAGGAGGGTTTCAAGGGCTGCCTCCCTCGCTGCTGCCTGTCTGCTGGGTAGAGGCTCTACCCTGTATAGGTGCTTTCTTTGTTGCGTCTGCCTCTGACTGGGAGATGACGTGTGTTGGAGGATCCCTCCTCCTGGGGTTGTTGGAAGGAAGGGAGCATTCTTCTTGCCTGAAGTCAGCTCTCTGCACCCAAGCTGCTATAGTCCAGGATGGCTGCACAGTAGCTGCTGTCGGCTCAGGCAGGTACTGCTGCAGCAGTGGCACAGCTGCCCAGGGGCAGCTCTGGTGCTTCACTGTTTACCCAGCTTCTTAGCAGGGTGTTTGTTTAAAGGTGGTAGCAATACCGTGCAAAACCTGGCCGGGCATGAGATCACCGGCTGCAGGCACTGCAGCCTGTGTGGGAATGCCTCCCGTGGCCATGGCCCTTCCAAGCCCTCCCGTGGTTGTAGCTGGTCCCTGTTGCTGCAGTTTGATATCTTGAGCTGGGTTAAGGCCTCTGCTCCTCCTTTCTTCTTCCTGTTTCACAGCTCTAGGTTTTCATTTCATTGTCCCTGTGCTTTGGCTGGGCCACAGGTGTGGAAAACCGTGTTGGGCACTTACACAGTGATGGTCTTTTCCTGTCCAAGAGAAGAAAAGTGGATTGTGCAGTTGCCCAGCGTGATGTTCAGCCGCCCTTTTTCCAGCAGTGCAGCATGAACAGAACTGCGGAGGCATGGAGGGAGTCATCTGTGCCATGTGTTAGTTGTTAATTTTAGCCTTACCATAACTCTTGATGACAGCGTTTGGTGTTTCCTACTGTAGGCAGCCTGTAGCAGTTATCCTGGAGATACGGTGTGGCTGTAAGACAGCAAAGCTGCAGCTCATCCCTGAGCTGCAGTACGCTGTCAAGCAGTGCAATAGCCAGATTCTCTTTCTGACTCACACAGCTGCTCTCTTCTGGAATTGAGAGGCCAACAGTACCATATGGTACCATTTTTCTTGAATTTGTGCTAAATCCTTGACTTCAGGTTAAGTGAGGATGGCAGTAGGCACAGGCTGAGTTCTACACATCTCTGAGGACAAAGCTTGGCCAAAGGATTGTTATACATTAGCCAGACAAGTCTCTCTGTCATTATTATATGTTGCAATTATAGGTACTTTATTTAACCTTAGTCTACTGCTTTTTCCTTAATTCTGGGTACTTGAAGTCTGTACGAAGTGACAGCCTGTACTGATATGGTCAAAAGAGCATCCCAGAATTTGATGTACAGGTCTCAAATGGAACTTCTAATGCCTAGGCTACTACAGGGAACTCTTATGAGTAGATTATAGCAGGCTGAACAAAAATCATGTAGCTTTAATATCTTCTCCAGGTTGTTGCTGATAGCTTTGCTTGTTATGCATTGCATTCAGTCTCTTGAGTCTGGAGCAAAATCACTGTCTGCATCAGAATATACCTATCTCCCGGTGCTGATATTAGTGTTTGCTAATGCATGAGTTTCCCAGAGCATCATGCTTCTGATGGCTGTGTTGCCATACAGTGCTGGAGGTTTGCCTGGCTTGCATCCAGAGATGATGTTCTGACTGACATGGTCAAGCTCAGTGAGGTGGGTTGGTTAAAGGTGTGGGAGCACCAGCAGTGTACGGCAGCTGACTCCAGCAGGGAATCTCTGGAAACTTCATCTCTTTCTAGTGTCATTTTGTTGGTGGTCTTTTGCCATGGTCCACAGAGTTTGTTCAGTCTCTGCTCTCACGTTTGGTTAAACACTGCATGAGGATGCAAATGTCTTTTTGCTGCAGTGAAGGAATGCTGTCACACTGTGCTCCTGCTCAGCCAACCTTTATGCAAACTTTGGGTACATGCAACATCTTTTTCTAGCTAAAGAGAGACACCAGATCTGTAGAAGAGCTGATGTCTTTAGGTGGAAATGCAACAATTGATGTGTTAAAAAATTGGAGGTACAGTTGGCTGCTTAGAATAGAGGTGTTGGGAGGGGCAAGGAATTGTATAAGGGCTGAAAGGGTTGATCTGAAGTCATGTCAAGTGAAGTGTCAGAAATGCGACACGCTGCTCTGTAACAGAACATTCTTCATAGGCAGTTTAACAAGCTTTGGAATTAAATCTGGAAAAAAAAAAGTGATGTAGCTGTTATGCCAAGGCTTTCACAAGCTTGCAGTGTGCTGTCTGGGCTGTGACTGGTAGAAAACCAGACCTGAACAACCATGTAATCAGTGCTTTTCCTAGGCAGTTATGAGCTCACACTATACTCACACCACAGCTGCATATATATTTTCCAAAATACACTTTTGGAATTATACATACATTTTCTTAGCATGCTAATTGTCTCTGTGGTCATTCATTCCTGCAGTTAATAACTAGACTCTTAGAGAAAATGAGTTAACAAACTGACAGCTGCTCATAACAAATCACTTGCTGGAGAGGCCAGTGTAAGTTTAACGTCCACAATAAATCCTTCTTTTGCTTCTGATGGTTCAGTGGAGCAATGGCAAAGAAATGAGGCAATAATTTCATTTATCAAAGCAGTTCATGGCTGTAGCAGATTTGAGCATGAAAGCTCGTAGACAGAAATGCAAGGGAGTTACAGACTGGGGATGTCTGCTGCTCTTTGATTAATACTAAGTGTAAATGGGAAAAGGTAGATCTCTTGGTATAACCTCACAGTTGGACAGACTAATAGGGGTCAGTCCTGGGTACATGTTTGGCATGAAAAGACCAGCAAGAAGGGTGGAGATAGCTAGGGCACTCCAAGGGGGCTTGCTTCTGGCTCCACTGCCAAGAGTGAACTGAAATCTCACACCAAGACCTGACACTGAAGTAAGAGATTGCTTGTTTCAGTTGTGAACCCCATGTTCTCTTTGTTGCTGTGCATGCAACTCCTCTTGCCCCAGGCCCAGGAGGGACCAGGGTCATTGCAGAGCTTGTGGTGCATGGTAAGGCAGGGAGCAGGTTTATGGATGCTGTGCTGCTGCTGGGAGTAATTCCTGCAGCTGCTGGCTGATGGGACACCTTTTCTGATCACGGTATCAACAGTAATCAATAACCATCTTTCAGCAGCAGCTAACCATTAACTCATGGCAAATAGCACATGTTTTTCATAACCTTTGGTTACAAATAAATAAATAGATGTAACAGCCTTGGATTCGGCAAGAAATACTCTGAAATTCCCATTTCCTGGATCAGAGCTGAGCTACCCTAAGGACCAGCATTTTCATAACACTGTGTGTGGAATGAGCTGACAGATCTAGCTGACAGCTAGTTTATATTACAGGTTTAGTTTGGGACATTGGTGCCTGATAATATTGCAGTTCCTGCTTCCCAGAAGCACTGACATTGGGTTTAAGATTTTTAAATTAGTGTTGTTGGTTTTTAAAATTATGGGGTTTAAAATCTGGCAAATAAGCTTATCGTCCAAAATGGCAACACTGTGCTGAGCTAATTAATGAAAAGCTAATTAATCTCTCTGTGATTTGAAATGAGGGAGCTACAGGAATAAACACCAAGAAACCTGTGATGTAACGAAAGGTCTTTCATTTCAGTATTTGAATTCATAGCATGGGAAAATTATTTTCTTCAAATACAGTATGTTTTTAAGCTGGCAGCATCCCAATTAAACTGATCACACTACACAGCCCATACAGGTGGCTGCATTAATGCTGCACTGAACTGAAACAGCTCAGTTTTAGAAAGGGTGTTGTATTAGGTTAATGGGTCATAGGCTTGGTAGTGGGAGGGATACAGGGGTGGCTTCTGTGAGAAGCCACTGGAAGCTTCCCCTGTCTGATAGAGCCAACACCATTCGGCTCCAAGACGGACCCACCACTTACCAAGGCTGAGCTCATCAGCCAGCGATGGTGGTAATTCCTGTGGGATAACGTATTTAAGAAGGGTGAAAAAACCTGCACAACTGCAGCCAGAGAGAAGAGTGAGAATATGAGAGAAACAGCTCTGCAGACACCAAGATCAGTGAGGAAGGAGATGCCCAGGCTGGAGCAGGTTGGCTGTCAGGACCGGTGTCCCCACAGGCGACCCACACTGGAGCAGTCTGTGCCTGAAGGACTGCACCGTGTGGAAGGGGCCCACATTGGAGCAGTTCATGAAGAACTACAGCCCAGGGGAAGGGCTCGTGTTGTAGAAGATCATGGAGGACTGTCTCCTGTGGGAAAGATCTCGCACTGGAGCAGGGGAAGAGTGTGAGGAGTCCTCCCCTGAGGAGGAAGGAGCAGCAGAGGCAATATGTGATGAACTAACTGGAACCCCTATTCCTCATCTCCCTGTACTGCTGGAGGTGGAGAGGAGGTAGAGAATTTGGGAGTGAAGTTAAGCTTGGGAAGAAGGGAGAGGTGGGGGGGAAGGTGTTTTGAAGATCTGGTTTTATTTCTCATTGTCTTACTCTGATTTGATTGGTAATAAATTAAACTGATTTCCCAGACTTGAGTCTGTTTTGCCCCTGGTGGTAATTGGTGAGTGATCTCTCCCTGCCCTTATCTTGACCCACAAACCTTTTGCTATGTTTTCTCTCCCCTGTCCACTTGAGGAGACTGATAAGAGCTGCTTTGGGAGCGTCCAGTCAGGGTCAACCCACTGCATAAGTGTGCATAAGAACTACTGCAGAGGAACTGTTTTAGGCAGAGAGTACTAATGTACTGCTTACGCCAGTTCATATACTGGTAGTGAAAAAAACCAACAAAACCCATAGAAACTAAGACACCAAATGCTTTGTTAGCTTAACTTTGTTTTTTCTGCTATTAAAATTTCTACCACTTCATAATATGCTAATTTACCCCCAAAGAGCTTGCATTTTTATTTTCTGTGTGTTTGTCTGTATAAAATGTTCACAGCACAGCAGGGGAGAATTTTGGATGATTAAAGCCAAATTTTGTAATTCTCAAGTTCCTAGACTCTTAAGTATATTAGCAGTCTTGTTGATGCTAATGATTAACGCTAAGCTCATGAGTGTTATTTGTAGAAGGAGAGCCTCAATGCACATGGATCATTACAGACTTGTGTGAGGCAAAATCTCAATTTTTATTTTCTAAGGTACTGTTCTAAAAAAATCACACAGCCTTGTCTTGGGATGTGCTCTCCTGCTACGGTCAAATAGAGACCAGTGGACATCTCAGAAGAATTTACAATCAGTAGTCCTGATTATGTGACAGAAGGATATGGATTCTCCTCCAGCATTCCATTTCCTCTTCATGAGGATACAGAAGCAGTGATTTTGAGTTGTTATATTCAAACCAGCCTGCCCTGGTTTGAATTTAGCAAGGTTATGCATAGGTAGGAATAAATGCATAGGCAAAAGACTCTTAAAGCTGCAACTATGAGGAAAAAGCTTTTTAAAATGGAACAAATAACCACTCCTAAAACCCTCTTTGTAGAGATTATTGAAATCATGACCTTTCCTATGAGCCTCCTGTGCGTGGAGCTAACCACTGACTTTACCAGTGCTTCTCTGGTTCTTCATACTTTGGTTTCATGCGGGTTCTCATGCCAGCATCATCAAGAGCAGGCTTGGGCAGTGAAGGTGAATTTCTGACCCCACTGAAGCAAAACTGCCAGACAGTTTTTTTTTCCCTTAGGAAGATAGAAGCCTTGATCTTCTGTTTTGTAAAGTGCCAGGTTATGTTCATGTGGTTAGATACTACTATATAATATAACTATGGAGAGTTAAACAATTCTTAAATATGACTAACGGACCCATTTTCCTGCTGCTGCATGGCTTTCACCATGTACCAGTGCTCTTGGTTTTGCATTGCTGGAGAGGGGCAAAGACATGACTTTCGGGTTTGGACTGTATTGTTGTTTTATTAGTGATTATTGAATGTATGTGATGGAGCACCTAGTTGTGAAGATGTCACTAAATGATTTCTTGGGCAAATGCAGTTATTTCTGGAGAGTGTGTGTTTTTCTGTCCTCTCTCGTTGCACCTGCCTCCTTTGGATTTCTCTCTTTAGCCAGCCTCAGCCTCCATGCATTGAAATATGAGCAGAGGCTTTCCTTCCTTTTATTTTGGGTTAATTTCCATGCATCTGTTTCACTCAAGCCATCTGCTGCTGTCTTGGGTACTTGAATCTGTTCAGGGTGAGGACCTCATTGACTTAGGGCCTAATGGGGGTATCATGAGTGATATGAATCAATGGCCTGGAGCAGTGGAGGGTTCTAACTTTTATTCTCTTTCTGCTTTATAGGTATTTGTATAAAGTGTGGAAAAGGTGTATACGGAGCGAGCCAGGCTTGCCAAGCAATGGGTAACCTGTATCATACCAATTGCTTCACGTGCTGCTCTTGTGGTAAGTCAGATCTGCCATAGCCTTATTAAGTGGCTTTATTTTGTAATATATATTCCTTTAGCAACCAGTATACAGAGTGAAACCTCATCTTGCCTGCTCTTGAGGCAAAATTCCCACGCAAGACTCCAGCTTCAGAAGTTGTTTTTTATTTGCCATCTGTAAGTGTTCAATGGTGTTTTCCACCATTAGTATTTGGTTGTTTTAAGGCCTGCATTTACAAAATGGCTTCAACTTGGCCATTGTAAGCACTACATACTTCAAATCACGTGTTTTTATGGAACTGTAATGTGCATTTATCATTTTACAGAAAAACAGTAAAATTTGTGCAGCCAAAACCGTATTTTCCCTCACTTCCTATTTCCAAATGTAACTCTAACCAAGCACATATATTTGTCATTTCTGTGTATACCTCATGCTCAGAATTGTTCTCTTATGTGTGAATGTGATAAGAACAAATAGAAACTGCATGCTGAAATACTTTAAGATATTTCATTTTGTAGGAGAAAACTTGCAGGTTTATCACTAGTTCCTCCTTGTTGTCCTTGGGACCCTTTTAAGTTTCTCTTTAAATCTGAATGCAACTGGAAGTGACATATTCTGTATGTGATTTGGGGAAGTCATGGTTTGTCAGGGTAGACAGGACTTGGAAAATTCAGGGCAGCACTTCCAGAAGTGTTTGCCTTAAGTCAAGCGCTGTGAACTGAAGTTGGGAACTTTCTCAGTGTATTGTCTGTAGCTGCTGAGAGCTCACAAATGCCCACCAAATTCAAGGGAAGTATGAGAGCTCAGTTTGCAGGAGTCAGGTAATTTTTCTTGATATGTCTACACATTTATTCAGGTTCCTAATTTCCAAAAGTATTTGCCTCAGTGTTGAAGATCTTGTTGCAATGCACATGCACAGAAAAAGGTTTACTATGAGTAGAATATGCCAAGTGTACATTGTTTATAAAAAGGATTAATTAAGGATTAGAAAAAGAGTAAAAGATTATTGGCATAGAACCAAATAAGTTGATAATGAAAAGACCATTGTAGAGTTGACTTGTGAAAGGAGAAGTGTTGTCTTTTCTCCTGAGATTTGTACAGATAAATATTGGTTTAAAGAAACCTATAACCTGAACATAGAATTTAGTGACCTTTATAAATGACTCTGGAGCATTAGCAGGTTCTAGAATAAACTCATCTGAAACCTTCAGGGATCGCTCATGACTTTGCTCAAGTCTGACAGGGAATGAGCAGCTGTTTTTTGGCTCCCAAAGTGAACAGCATCCTGCTTAGCAGGGAATTACAAAATACGGTATCAGATAATATCTATCCACTCATTGCCAACATTAACCTAACCTAATTGTATGGGTGAATTCCAGCTTCTTCTCTGAGGCAGATGTGTTTTCATTTAGGTAATCAGGATACAAGCTTGCTACCACAGAAATCTGTACACAGGTCACTCTGTTCCTCAGAAGAATGCGCAAGGGCCAAAGAATGTATTTTAATAGCAAAATACAAACCTAACTTCATTATTCAAAAGCACAACAAGCTCTTCTAACTGTTCTAGCAAGGTGTGTGTGGCCAGTGTACATCTACCACAGGGCGATTTGAGACACGTCCATTGAGAGCATAGTTTTGCCCACCTCAGGGTGCCAGTGGAATTTCATGATTCACAGCACTTCCCATGAGTCACACACACACACGAGGAAATGGTGCCCCAGGTTGGTCTTCCAAGCTTCTCACTCTACTGCTCATGGGCTGGAGGGCCCAGCTGTCGTCCACTAGGATGTTTTACAAGTAAGAGCTTGGATTTGCTTCTGCCTGCAACCTCTGGTACAATCTCATTGAAAGGAGAACGTGTGGCAACTTTCTTATGTTAGGCCCAGAAAAGGTGGATGTGCTGCTAATGTGGCAGAGTTACAGAGATTATTGAAAGGCAGGAGACAGGCTAATTGTGAGAGCCCTGAGTATTTGGGTATCACAAATTGTGGGAGGGACATCTGGCTGGAGCTCATCAATGCTTTTATCATAAAACAGCATTAGAAGGTGGTCTCGTGTATTCGACACAAATATGAGAGCTCTTCTCTGGAGGCTGAAATTACACAAGTCAAATAGGAAATCAAAGACAGTTTTTATTCAATGAAGAGGATTAACTGCTGGAATGAAAAAGCAGAAGAAGTGGTAGATTCTCTATTCTTCTTTGTTTTCAAATTAAGACCAAATATCTCTTTGGAAAGTGTTTTGAGTCAAGCTCTTAGATTCAATACATAAGTAACTGGGTGACCATTAATGACCTTTGTTAGGCAAGAGGTCACAGCACCCACACTAATGCTCCTTCTGAGCCTTTGACAGGAGAGTAGAGAAGTATATTAGTACTCTCTGCCTAAACCAGTTCCTATACAGTAGTTCTTATCTATGTGGTGGGTTGACCCTGGCTGGACACCAGGTCTCCACCAAAGCTGCTTTTATTAAGACCTTGCCATGCTAAACCGAATACAACTTAGAAATCTGAGATAGAGTAAGAGTGCAAGTTTGCCTGTCTCTTTTTTCCCTTTATTTCCCAAATAACAAAAATGATCCAAACTGTCCTCCAGCAGTTATCAGTCTTACTTTCATTATAACAGATCTAGAAAGTAAAATGCAGTAACTGAAGAGGAGAAATTCTGTACCTGAAGACATTTGATTCAGGTAAGGGCCCAATATTTAACCAGCAAAATTTAAAAAGTATTTCAGATCCTTGGGAAAAGTTGTGGTTTGGAGACCACTCAAGCTGAAATGTGGTAAGTGTTGGAGCTTCCAAGGGCCCTGTTTTAGCACTCAGCAGTGAGAATTTTCAACTCTGCAAAGCCAAGTGCAGTTATGTAGAGAAGTGGGATGAGACCCTCAATAGGAAATTCTGCCTGAGTTAGAGTCCCTTCTTAGGCTCTTCTTTAACTTTGGTTTCAGTGCCAAGTGCCATCTGCCGGGGTGCCCTGGTTGAGAAGGCCACCCTGCACCTTCCAGGGAGCACTTGTTCCAGTGCTGTCCTTTTCAACTCCCACCATTGTATATCACACCATTGCTGGATGGTTTGTGTTGCTTGTAGTAAAGAGTTAACCTAAAATACGCTCACAGATGCAGGCACCTCTGTGAAGACTCCAGCCTTGCTAGTGTAGAAATGTGAGGATGCAAAGGATGGATTCTCAGTGGACTGCAGTGATGGTGGTTAGCTCTTGAAACATGAATGAAGAAAGATGAGGAAATACTCCATAGAGTAAATAATCAGGAGACTTCTGTCCCCTTTAGACATTTTGGTAAATGCTCAGATGGTAAATGTCTTCATTGTCTTTCTAAGTTCTGACAACTTGGGGATAAAACTCAGTAATAAATTAATTCAGAGTTGTACAGGGTCTCCTCAAAAAAAAGGAAATCTTGCCAGTGAGCTGAGGTTAGAATGGAAAGGAAAAGAAAACGACCTAGCTGGCGTATTTTATGTGCTGCATTTCTGGATCTTTAATGTGTTCAGTGGGCTTTGGATAGTTGAGCCTTGCTCCCATAACACCATTTTAGAACTTTTCTCTGTCAGTTAATTTTTTGTTATGTCTCTGTGTAAACCCCTATTGCCTTCTGCAAGAAGCCATGCTTCTCAGGTAGCTTTATTTTCAGAGGTCTGATAATTCTCTTCAGGTAATGTAAAAGCTAAAGCAATCTGGTTTACTAGGATCAAGTACTTCAATGCAGATCTTTATCCACAATCTCTTACAGAAAACAAATGAAGCTTGTTAGGATGGTTTTAAAATGCAGATTCAAATCCTCTCTCAGCCCTAACACCAGTGGAACCTCTTGATTCAGCAAAACACATAGACATGTGCTTAAATATGTTATATTGCTCATGTGTAAGCATGCTTTGCTGAATCTTAAATAACAGAGATTAATTCAGGCAGCAACATACACTATCCCTTCTGTTAAGTGTAAAATTTTAGTTTTGGCAGGAGTTCAGTTGCAAATTTTGCTTATGGAAGATAAAAGCTGATATCTGCCTGAAAAGCTCATCATCTAATTCCTCTTGGTAGAATTTCGAAGCATAAGAAGATTTCTTGAAAAATAATTGCAGTAATGCCAGATTGCTTGTGTGCTGTAAGTGTAGGTGATCAGTTGCAGGAATTAAAGGGGTCTATTTGCAGACCCTAATGCCAGCCAGAGCATCTCTTCAGGCTGAAAATTTGAATCCAGTGGCAATGATTGTAGAAACTACAGTAAGGTATATCTTTACAATGAGGAATATCAGTTTAATATTTGTTACTCTGAGGGTGCAGGAAATAGGCAGGTTATGAGCTTTGAAGAGCTAAGGGTTTCAAGCCTCTGTACTTTCAAAAATGAGACGTATTTGACCATAAAAACCAGAAACATTTTCTGCTCTTTTACACGAAAGCAAATGTTTGAGCATACCATTCGTCTTTAATTTGCACTTTTGCTGCTGGTTTTAAGGCACAGGAAATCACCACAAGATCAATCAGAAGCCTAAAGCAAACCGTATAATCCCAAAGGTATGCAGCTCATTTCTTACCTGGTAGCTGTTGATCAGACTGGAGCACTCATGGGGATTTCATATAGCAGCTTGATTTTAAGGGACAGCTGGCAAAGGTATTGCAGTTCCGCCGATTACTAGCACTGCTGCTGCCTCAGCACCAGCCTTTGTCCAGACTTCAGAAGGTCATTGCTATAGGCCTCTTATAGAAGGATCATAGCAAGGGCTGACAGCATTGCCATTTGAAAAGGGCCATGTGGGACAACTGGACCAGTATGTATCGTTACCCTGAAGGTATAATGAGCAGTTCTGAACTAGCCCGTGCCCTCCAACTGGTGTTAAGGGGAGTTGGTTCACGGTTGTGGACCCAACCTGCCTTATTGCTCATATTAAGTCTTGGAGACAACAACTCCCTTCTGACTGAGGCCACTCAGTGCTACTGTAATCAGATGTGTGTTAATAGGAGGTTGCTCATGTCCGGACTTGTAGGGAGAAGTTCCTTGTGACACTG